AGGCAGGATCTCACTATGCAGTTGAGACTGACCTGGAACTCACTATGTAGCCCAGGCTGGTCTCGAACTCACAGCGATCCTACTGCCTCAGCCTCCCGAGTGCTGGGATTATAGGCATGCACCACCATGCCCAGCTGTGTAGAACATATTTGACTAGTGCAGTGATTCAAAAAAGATGAAAAGTGAGGATTTCAACAGCAGTTCATTAAAAGTTTACTGAACTGTTCAAGGCGCTGTTCCTGATACCAAGAACACAGAAGTAAGCCAGGGAACAGGACTTGGGTCAGCCTTGCAGGAAGGGCAGATATGCTGGGTGGTGTGAACATCCGTGTAGGCTGGGTCAGTCCTTAGTGTGACAGCCGCTTTCTGTACAAGATCTGGAACAATCCTTCCCCTCCTAGTTGCAGATACGGCCCATCACAAGGTAGAGCTTATTCTCCCTCCTTCTGAGTCTCGACTGGCCTTGTGACTGTTTGATCAGAAGTGATATTCTGGGACTTACCAGCTCAAGTCTCAAGAGACTGAACAGCTTCCTCTCCCGTCCTGTTAGCATGCTCTGTCTGGAGGGGCTCCCTCTGGAAAAGCAACCCTCACCCTACCCCACCCCCATAACAGAAGCCCAAGCCACACACCACACACAGGGCAGCTAGAAGAGAATAGCGTTGCTCCCCTCAACAGCTCCAGCTGAGGGATGTCTCTGGGATGCTCGAGCTCAAACAACCCCCAGGTGTCCTTAGCTGACACCATGTGCAGCAGAAAAAGCCCCTCAAGGCTGAGCCCAGTTAACACAGAATAATAATAATAAAATGGTTCTTGTCCTCATTTGTTATGGGGTGATGGGTAACTAAAACAGCTACCCATGGGGCTGCCTTTATTTGGCTCATGGGTAGGGTTGTACCCAATCTGACTGCACTTAGAGCCAAAAAAAAGACTCATTTCCTTTCTGAGGACAAAGCCAGGAGGTATGAGGCTCAAGGGCTGCCTCCATCCTTTAAAGAAAGGCAACTCAGGGGCTGGGGGTTTAGCTCTGTGGTTCTGCACCTGCCTCACAAGCACAAGGCCCAGAGTTTGATTTCTGGTACAAAAAAGAAAAAAGAAAAAGAAAAAGTAAGAAAGGCATGATTATGTACACTTGTAATTGCAGCATTAGGCTGAGGCAGGAAAATCACAAATTTGAGCCCAAACTGGGCAATTTAGCAAGACCCTGACTCAAAAAAAAAAAATTCTGGAGATGTAGCTCAGTGCAAAAGCCCAGGGTTCAATCTCTAGTACACAGGCAGAGGGACAGAAACACACACACACACACACACACACACACGTGTGTGTGTGTGTGTGTGTGTGTGTGCAAAAAAAGGCAATTCAAAAGAAAAAGAGCCAGGCATGGTGGTGAACTCAGGAGGCTGAGGCAGGAGGATCGCTGCAAGTTCAAGGCCAGCCTGGGCTACACAGTGAGTTTAGGGCCAGCCTGAACTTCATAAGTAAGACCCTGTCTCCAAAAGTGAAAAAACAGCAAAGAACAAGTGATGAGATGCTCTATGCTTATCTGAGGCAGGAGGGAAGGCTAGATAAAGACCAGTACATTGAGGTGGAGAAGTAGGAAATGAAGGGAAACCACAGGAAGGTTCTCATTCTTGGTCGTGAGCTTTTGCGCAACACCTGCCCCACCCACACGCGTGGACAAGCCGCCACCTTGCTCTCTGAACAGCAGCTCCTGACCAAGTTGTCTGTCTTTGCCCCTCTTCCATCCCAACGTGGGGCTTTTCATTTGCCCTTGGGTCCCTTCGGACTCAACGTTCTATTGCCCCTCCTCTTAGAGCTCTGGGCTCTGGCTTCTGTAAAAACTGCCTCTCCCAGTTAGGAGTTCCCACTCTCTTCCTGATCCTGTGGCTTCCTGGGTGGTTCACCGGGTGAAGCGTCAGTTACCCTCCCTCGAGAGTGAGATGTGCAAGAGTGAATGTGGGATGAACTCAACCTCTCGACAACGAAGAATAGTTTTGACCAGGACAGAGGGCAGGCGGGCGGTGTAGCTGAGTGGTAGAACACCTACGTGGTCCTGGGTTCAATCCCAGCACTGCAAGGGTGGCGAAAAGATGCTCTTCTGGAGGCGGCATGTTACAATGATCAAAGGCATAATTTTGAACTCAAACAGTTATGAGTTCAAATTCTGGCCCTAGTCAGGATGTATCACTTGTGGAAATGTAAATAAATTAATCTCCAGCCCTAGCTCTCTGATTGCTCTGAGAATTACACCTACAAAAAAGGACCAACGTTACCTTTCAGGACGCGCTTGACAGAAAGTATGCAAAATGTCTTCCGTGGGGCAGGCACCCTATAAATACCAGTTCTCAATGGGACGGCTCCACTGTGCCAGGTCCTATCAGGGAGCTTGGATGTGACCACATTGTGTGCAGTGCATCCCTTTGCTCTTAGAAAACCCACTTCTAGCAAGATCCACAGGGCCCTGGGGGCACGGAGCCCCCCTGCCGCACCCTCCCTTGTTCTCCAAGCTCCAGCCTTACTCAGCTGTTTTCAGTTCCCAAAAAGGCTTCTCCCCCAGTCTCCCCTCCAGGGCTTCCCACGTTTAGAATAGGCAAGGCGCCAGGGATTTAGCTCAGTGGTGCTGCCACCTGCCTTGCCAGCACAAGGTCCCGAGTTTGACCCCCGGTACCAAAAAAAAAAGAGAGAGAGAGAGAGAGAATAGGCAAAGTCTGTACCCTCCAAGGCTGCAGTACGTTCATCAGGAACGTGTGTACAGATATGTGATGGTTGCAAAGAATAAGTAGGGGAATGAAAAACAGATTAAGTACCTTTCCGCTGCATTGTCAAACATTGCTGCCTTGTTCTTGATTTTGAAGAATAGAAAATGTACCTTTAAAAATGTGGGTTATGAGCTGGGCGTGGTGGCGCGCGCCTGTAATCCCAGCACTCGGGAGGCTGAGGCAGGAGGATGCTGTGAGTTCGAGACCAGCCTGGGCTGCATAGTGAGTTCCAGGTCAGTCTCAACTGCATAGTGAGACCCTGTCTCAACCCTCCCCAAAAAAGCAAAACCAAACCCCCCAAACTGTGGGTTATTTTCTTTCTTCTTTCCCCTCCCTCCCTCTCCCTCTCTGCATTCTCTCCCCCCACCCTTTCTTTTTCTTTCCTCCCATATCGAAGATTGAACTCAGGACCTTGCACCTGCCAGGTGCCACTGAGTCACGTCCTCGGCCCCGTGGGTTATTTTCTTATCACCCATTTCACTTCTTTCCTTTCCTAAGAGCCCCGACTGCCACTTGGACACTCCTGTTGTTTGTATGTGATTAACCCCACTTCCCAGCTCCTGGAAGGCTCCAGAATAAATCAACCAGTCAGTATTTTCTACCTGCCTTCTCGTAGGAGGCTGGAGGAGTGAACCCGTGATTCCCTTCAGCGGTAAAGCACCTGCTGGGTGAGGAGGAGGAGGAGCTCGCCGCCTGGATGGCTGGGCGTGGCCTCGAGCCGAGCCTAGCCGAGCCTGCCTTCTCCTGTTTATGGGCGGGGAGGCGGTTGTTTTTTGAGACAGGGTCTTGGCCTTGTGGTTCAGGCTGGCCTTGAACGCTCAGCAGTGTTCCAGCAGATGCCCCTCAAGTGCTGGAGGCGATAGGCCTGTGCCTCTGCACCCCGCATCCTTCTAAATTGAGTGAGCTGTAGGTTACTTTTACAATTTAAACCAATGTGAGATGAGTTTTCTGTTCCTCATAATAAAAAGCACTGTGAGCCGGGGATTTAGCTCAGTGAATGCTTCTGCTGCCTGCCTTGCAAGCACCACGTTCAGACTTCTATCCCTGGTACCAAAAAACAAAAACAAATAAAAAGCATTCTACAATGGTATAAATATTTACGGTATTTAACAACTCTAAGGAGAACCTCAGATTTTAAAAAGGTTGCTTGCTTGCAAATCTTTAATAAGATGAAACAAAACTTAGTAAATTGCAAAAAGCAAAGGAAATTTTCCAAATAAAAGGCAGCTACTAAAAAAAAAAAAAGAAATAAAAACATGTCCATATAAAAATAAGTACATAAATGTTCATAGTAGCATTATGCCAAAAAGTGAAGTGAGGTAGGATGGAAGAAATAAAACTAAAAAAAAAAAAAGAAAGAAAGAAAGAAAGAAAAGAAAAGAAAAATAAAACAACTAGCTGGGCATGGTGGTGCATGCCTATAATCCCAGCACTTGGGAGGCTGAGGCAGGAGGATCACTGTGAGTTCGAGACCAGCCTGGGGTACATAGTGAGTTCCAGGTTAGTGAGATTCTGTCTCAAACCACCCCCACAAAAAAAAAAAAAAAAGAAAAAAAAAACTAGGTAGAAAGTAGATAAGGAAATGGAGATTTTTAAAAATTGTACATTTGTGAAGAATTGCAGTTTCAGAATACAAGCCCAGTTTATTTACTTTCTCTCTCTTTACCCAAAATAGTAAACCTAGGCAACTCTCAGCTACAAACCAGCCTGTCCATTCCTTTTCTACTTTAAAATGATCCTGTTTCACCCATGAAACTACCCTTTTGGGATTTCCCATATTTATAGAGCATTATCTCCTCATGGGTGGGCCATCCTCTCCTACTCACTACACAAGACTAAGATTACAGATTATAGTACTCCACAGGCTCCCACCACCCAAAACACAAAAGATCCCCAGTTCCCAACTGTATTGTGGCTCATTTCTCTGAGCTCTCGAGTGCATCCCATATCTCTGTCAATAATGAACCTTCTTGTGTCTCTTTTGCTGACACATCCTGAAAATTCTTTTTCCACGAAGGGAGTCAGAGAACCTGAAAACTTATTTTAAAAGAGTGGGTTAAATTCCTTATTTCAGCCTCCACAACCCTCAGACCCAGCTCAGTGGCAGAAGCAACCCAGATGTCTATGAAATGATGGCTAAAGAAAACGTGGTTTATCCACTTCGTGGAATATTCTTTGGCAGTTAAAAAGGAATGAAGTTGTTATACGTTGGGACAGGAAGGAACTTTGAAAACATTATGCTAAGTGAAAGGAGTCAGTCTTTTTCTTTTTTCTGGTACTGGGGATCTAACTCAGGACCTTGATCTTGTGAGGCACGAGCTAAATCCCTGGCACAAAAGGTCTTAAAGGTCTTAACCACATTTTGTACCATCTAAATTATATACAACATCCAAATCTATAGAGATAAAAAATTTTAAAAATGGGCCCGGGATTTAGCTCAATGGTTCCACTGCCTGCCTCACAAGCGCAAGGACCCAAGTTAGATCCCCGGTGTACCGAAAATTTTTTTTTCAATAAAATTAATTAATTAATGGTTGTTTAGGGCAAGGGGAGGGCATAGAGAGACCGTAGTAGTGATGATAAGGGGGATAAGTTTCTCTTTGGGCTAATGAAAATAATGAGTGTGGTGATGGTGCATCCTCCCTTGTTAATATTCCAAAGCCACTAAATTGTATACTCAAAGTACATACATTGTGAATTATTTTCTGGGCCAGGCATGGTGGTACACACCTGTAATTCCCACACTGGGGAGGCTGAGGTAGGAGGATTGCTGTCAGGTCAAGGCCAGCCTGAACTACATAGAGAGACCCTGTCTCAATGAGTGTGGTGATGGTGCATCCTCCCTTGTTAATATTCCAAAGCCACTAAATTGTATACTCAAAGTACATACATTGTGAATTATTTTCTGGGCCAGGCATGGTGGTACACACCTGTAATTCCCACACTGGGGAGGCTGAGGTAGGAGGATTGCTGTCAGGTCAAGGCCAGCCTGAACTACATAGAGAGACCCTGTCTCTCTAATTTTTTGGTACTGGGGATCGAACTCGGGACCTTGTGCTTGCCAGGCAGGTGGTGGCACTACTGAGGTAAATCCCTGGCTACTTACTTATTTTTTTTGAACTCAGGAACTTGCACTGACCAGACAGGCGTGGTGCCACTGAGCTACATCCCTGGCAGAATATTGGTTTCTAAACCTAAATTCCATAAACAAGTGAAATGAAAAACAAATTGTGGCTGTAGAGGCTGCTGTGAGATGTGTCAAAGCCCAGGTGTCTGAGGGTACCTGAGGACACAATCCCGTTGTTTAGGGCAGGCACACCATGGGGCTTAGTTATATAATAATGAATCAGCAGAGATGGTCATGCATGTGCCACATGGACTGCAAGTTTGTTTGTTTGGGGTTTTTTTTTGTTTGTTTGTTTTTTGAGACAGGGTCTCACTATGTAGTTGAGACTGACCTGGAACTCACTATGTAGCCCAGGCTGGTCTCGAACTCACAGCGATGCTCCTGCCTCAGCCTCCCGAGTGTTGGGATTACAGGCGTGCACCACCACGCCTGGCTTGGACTGCAAGGTATTGCAGAATATTTTGTCTTAGCTAACCTGATAAAGAACCACTATAAAGGGCCAGGGATTTCGCTTAGTGGTGCTGTCGCCTGCCTCGCAAGCTCAAGGTCTTGAGTTTGATTCCCAGTAAAAAAACAAAAAACTATACTATACTAGAAATTCTGTGCTGGAAATTAAAGTTTGGTTCCTGCATTACGAAGTCTGCTCTCCAAGTGTTCTTTTCTTGCCTGACCTGGCCTCCCTTCAGCTCACTGCCTATACAGGGGCATATTTGTAAAATGAACTGCTACTATGTACCAACATAAAGGAGTGAATTACCATCATAATAATCTAAAGGACAGAAATTCTGTCCTGCCTGAGGAAGCATGGCTTCAGTGTCTTTTCAAAAGAAAACAGAACTGGGGCCAGGGGTTTAGCTCAGTGGCACTGTGCCTGCCTCATAAGCACGAGGTAAAGCTGTGTGTGTGTGTGTGTGTGTGTGTGTGCGTGTGCGTGCGCGCACGCGCACCTCAGTGCAAAGGTTCTGGGTTGAATCCCAAGCACTGAAGAAGAATTTATACAGCAAAAGTTTGGGTGGACAGTTCTGAGGTTTGTTTTGGTATCCAGGATCAAACTTAGGACCTTGTGCTTGCAAGGCAAGCGGCGGGACCACTGAGCTAAATCTCCGGCTTCGCATCTATGAGTTTGCTAAAGGCATAAAGTCACGTAACTACCACCACAGTCAAAATGCAGAACAGCTACACGACCCTCAAAAACGCCTCATGCTGTCCATTGGTGGAATGCTCCCTGTAACCCTTGTCCCTGGAAGCCCTGTCCTTTGATTTAGTCCCCATTCCTACAGTTTAGTCTTTCAGGTTGTCATATAAATGGAATCACATGTTCTTCTGAGTCTGGCTCTTTTTAATTCAGCAAAAATGCCTCCGAGAACCTTCCAAACATGTCATCTCCCCATGGTTGACTGTACTTTTATTGACAAGTAGCACTCAGCTGTATGTATGACCAGATGGGGTGCCAAGAAGTCTCCCTAAAGAGAAGACGTGGGCCTCGACATGCCGTGGGTGGGTTTGTGACTCTCCTCTAGGAAAAGAATTTCAGGAGGCATCATTGTGAGGCACAGGCAGATTTATCAGGTAGAACCAACAAAGCACATGCTCAGAAGCAGGGCAGATACCTTAGGGTGACACATGTTGTGGTCCGGAGTTGGGGGTATTAATGTGATCTTTGAGTATCCTTAAGACAGCTGTATTAGGCTTCTCTAGAGGAATAGAATCAATATAGAATAGATGTATAATTTACGAGGGATTTATTAGATAACCTTACAGGATCAGACGTGGAAGAGGTCCACAGTGAGGATCCCGTAAATGCTCAGGAACAATCTACATGATTTTTTTTTTTTGTATCAGAAATTGAACTCGGGACTTCTCATTTATCAGGCAGGCGCAGTGCCACTGAGCCAAATCCTGGGCCCAAGGAACAAGCGGTATCAAGGATGCAGTGAATTTCTCTTGCGTACCCAGGGACTGCTGGGTCACATGGTAAATGAATGTTTAACTTTATAAGAAATGGTCCAACTGCTTGAGCCAGGGATAGTTGTGCATGCCTGAAATCCCAGAACTCTGGAGGCTGAGGCAGGAGGATTGCCTGGGCCAGCCTGGGCTACAGAGTGTTCAAATGTAATTACAACACAACCAAGGCTATGAATATTTTATGTCATATCTGTACATGATACTGAGAACATCTTCATGTTAAGAATCTGTGGAATATTTGTAAAAATTGATTACATGTTTAGGTCACAATGAAAACTTCAATACATTTCCCAAAGTACCCACTGTACCACGATGTGAAAAATGTTGAAATAACAAGGTTTTTTTTCTTGGTAGGGGCATTGAACTCTGGTCCTTGTGCTTGGGCGTCAGGGGGCAGCACCACTGAGCCACATCCCCAACCCTGAAATAATGAGTTTAAACAACAGTAAAAATACACAATCTTCTGAAAGACACTAAACACTCGTCAAAATAATCACATTTTTGCTTTGGATCCAGGAAGAATTTCTAAAATTTAAAAACCATGAGGCCGGGTGTGGTGGCGCACACCTGTAATCCCAGCACTCGGGAGGCTGAGACAGGAGGATTGATGTGAGTTCGAGACCAGCCTGGTGGGCTACACATGGTGAGTTCCAGGTCAGTCTCAACTACATAGTGAGACCCTGTCTCAAAAAAAACAAAAACAAAAAACAAAAAAAAAAAGGAAGAACTCAGTGGCGCCGCACCTGCCTGACAAGTGCAAGGTCCTGAGTTCGATCCCTAGTACCGCAAAACAAATAAACTCTATGGTCCGTGTGTGACCACTCTATACCTTGGAGGATTCAGCGAGCACCGCCAATCATTAGATGATTTTTTTTAACAGCATGTGATCAGTAGTTTGGCTTACTATTGGTCGATAGCGATAAAGCCCGCCCTACTACTTCCGTTATGCTCCTTTAAGTACAATCTCCACGGGCCACCTGCCTTTTCGGCGACCGCGGTACGGGATCGGTGAGTGGCGTCTCCTTGCGGGTTTGTGCAGTTGGTCTGGCCCGGGAGTGGGCCTTGGTGCAGTTGGCTGGCTGTGATGATACAAATGAAAGCACGCGTTAGACTGCTGACGAGGGTGATGCGAACTGGGATCTGAGCCGGTTGCAGAGGGGCGGCAGGGAGCAGACGGAGAGGCCCACGCTCACGTACCTCTGTTGATCTTGCAGACCCAGCCCTGCCGAGGATGTCGGATCGCATCGTCTCGTGTGTTTCAGCGCCTTCTCCCCACCCCAAAGCCCCCCAATAAAATGATTTGGCCCCCAGCTTGGTGTCTGTGGTCGGTGACGCGCTGCCTTTGGGCCCCCGCCGTCTGTCCGTGGCCCCGGGGGCCAAGCTGCGGCGCCAGAGCACGCGCTCGCGCATAACTGGGGTCGCCTGCTCCTCGCGGGCGGCCCTTTTAACCACGAGCAACACGGCTGCGGCCGCTGGAGGAGCCTTATTCCCTACGAGGCAGAAACGGGTGCAGCAGGCTCCGCCGCGCCACGAGTGCCTTTCCGTGTACAGTGCATTGTCCCTCCCGAAATCGCGTGCTAAGTCCGGAGCTGCCGCGTTGGTGAGATGACTGGAGTGGCGGGCAGGGGAGGCAAGACCACCATGGGATCTGACAGAAACTGGCTCGGGGCTGGAGCCGCATGTGTTCCCCAACAGGTTAAGATGTAGTCCCAACCTACGGGCAGAACTACGGGTGAAATTTTAAATTCCACGGTCGTGTTGAGTGGCGAGGGTGCAAGTGAGGGAGACCAATTCTTGGTGCTTAGGTATTGAGCCCCAAGGTTGACAAGCAGATAAGGGTGTGGGTTCCAGCTCAGTAGCGCAACCAAAAAATCCAGGGTTTTTTTTGTTTTGTTTGGTACCGGGGATCGAACTCTGGTCCTTGCTGCTTCCAAAGCAGGCGGTGGAACCACTGAGCTAAACCCCAGCGCCAGAACTCCGTTCTCTTTAAGTGCAGGCTAAGGGAAATGGCACCTACCTCGAGGTATGGAGTCTGCCTTGCATCCTTAAGTTAACGGGAGGCCTTTTTAGCTTTAGACAAGTATGAGTCAACCTAATGACAAAGGCCCCTCTAACCTTTCCAGAAATCAACATGATGCTGACCTGTTTTCTGTTTTTTTTCTTTGGTACCGGGTATTGGACTCCGGACCTTGCGCTCGAGTGGCAGGCAGCGGAACTGAACTAGATCCCTGGCCCTCATTTTTCCATTTTTTCTAGTGTGTGAGACTGGGTCTCACCATGAACTCTGATCCTCCTGCTGGGATTACAGGTGTGCATCACCACACCCAGCCACTGTACTGTTGCCTTCTGACGTCTATCTCTGGGGGGTGGGGGGGTACCCAACTGGAGTGGCCCAATACAAACCAACGCGGTGTTTTATTGTAATTGACCTTTTACACTTAAAAAGGACTGCTCTGTGACCGCAGATGAATGGCTGACCTGCTTAGGTGAGGGCCAAGTGCTCTGCTCACTATTCTGAGCTTACCTAATGACCTCAGAAATAACTTAAATGCTTATCTAGTATTTGACATGAAATAATTTATTTTGTGAAACAATGCAAGCGATTGTAAGTCCCCAACGTACTATTCGATTAAGTGCAATAGGGTACAATAGTAGTGCATCTAGTCCTTTGCCTTTAATTACTGCACAAAATTATAAAGACCAGTGAACAAGACATGCGGACTCCGGACAGGCAGATGAGCCTACACAATGAGAAATTAGAACAGAACACCGACTGGAATGGTCAAATGTAAGTGAAATGTTTTAATGGCGCAATTAAAGGGTTCAAATATCTTTAATATATTAATTTCTTTAAAGTCAGGCAAGGTGCTGTTTAAAAAAAATCACTTAGCTTTGTCCACAGATGGAAGGTATCAAAAGTTACCCAAGGTAATTTTGATGATTGAATGCAGCTTTAAACAAAAAATTGTATTAAGTTTACTTCTCAAAGTAAATTATACAGTTAGAGCCCCCAAACTTGTAAACTAAGTATTCTGACACAAATGCACAAAGTTAAGTTGGCAATATTAAAGGAAGGTCACATGTAATTTGAGATATGTAGTGTTTGATGGGAGGCAAACTTTAGCCTTGATTTAAAAGCAGGTAGTAGTTGAGCAGTTCAGTTTTGGCCATCAGAAAACTGCCCCCAAAACCTTCCTAAATCAGATGAACAGCGTTTCCCTCTTTGAAGCTTCCTAGAGCACACAGGAAATCTGGGTCTTTGGGCCCACCCCACCCGGACTAGGAAGACCAATCTGTCCTTGGGTGAAGTATTTGTCATTGTCACACATGCTTGTGTCTCAGGGAAACAATCAGGATTAGTTAGAAGCAAGATGATTGTACCTCGTTGTTAAAAGGCTTTGGATAGTTTGATCTCATGGCTTTGCCTAATGTTTACACAAATCCCAGTGAAAGTTGTGTGTGTTCTATGGCAGTTGCTTCCAAAATGCATAATTTAATATGAAGAAAAGTAAGTTGCTATGCCTGTCTCTTTACCACCAATGACATGGCTCACAATCCCACTCCCCACACACGTTATCACATCGACAATCTGAGCATGGAGGGCTGCAATCACGTGTACAAAGTATAGAGCGGAAAAAATGTTCCAGTGTGCACCAGCTGCCTGAGGAAAAGCTTTGGAGGAGGCCAGGGGAAGTCTTCCAGTTGTACAGCGTCGCTCTGAATGTGCTGTTTGCTGCCGTAAAAACTGGTAAACTTTAAAAAGCCACAATGTGAATTGTGTAACTTCTGGGTCCGCCATGATAATTGTTCAGTCTCCTTGGCCGATCTAAGCTTTGCAGCAGGCAGTCCAGACACCTGTCACCGGATGCAGGAAATGACACCTCACAGTGGAATGGGCACCAGCAGGCAGAGGGCAGAAGCATTCTGAAGAGACGGTACAGCGGCACAAGTAAAGGCTAGTGCCACAGCACAGACGGTGGCCAGGAACCCCATACATTGAGCTGGGTCTCATAATGCAGGGCACACCCATCTTCACCATTACAGTGGATCAGTGGCCTCCACAGGTGGGTCTTTCAGGAGACAGGAAGTAGAGCGAGGGTCCATGGCCGAGTGCATTATAGGGATATAAACATCATCCATGTTTGGCATGACAAAAACTTTCTGCAGGGAGATATTAAAGAACAGCTTTGTCACCCTTTTTTGTTTTAATGATAATTTCAGGCTTTAGACGTTTTTTGTTTTGTTTTGTTTTTTGAGACAGGGTCTCCTTTGTAGTTCAGGCTGGCCTTGAGCTTGTGATCCTCCTGCCTCAGCCTCCCAAATGTGAGGATTACATACAGGTGTGCACCACCATACCCTAGATTTTTAAAATATCTATATATGAACAATGTATCAGCTCTGAAGCAGAAGCCTTTGATTTCCTGTACACATGTACAATTATTCCTGGGCCAGGGATTTAGCTCAGCAGTTCAGTGGCCTACCTTGCAAGCGCAAGGACCCGAGTTTGATCCCCGGCACCAAAAAAAAAAAAAAGTAAAATTATTCCTAAGTAATAAGTACTCGAGAACAGTAATTTAAGAGAACTGCCTTCAGCTGCTGACAGTATTTTCAAATTCTTATGTCCAGAACACATACTCCATGTGAATCTTAGGGAAAAAAAGTTCTTTTTGTTTTGTTTTTTGAGATAAGGTCTTGTAATGTATCTCAGGCTGGCCTTGAGCTCACTCTGTAGCCCAGGCTGGCGTCAAATTTGCAGCGATCTTCCTGAGCCTCTTGAGGCTGCAATTATAGATCTCCACCATCACACCTGGCAGGACTGCAAGACAATTTTTAAAAAGGCAAAACCTGAACACTGAGGCAGGAGGATCGCTGCGAGTTCAAGGCCAGCCTGGGCTACATAGCTGAGTTGCCTGAACTATGGCAAGACCCTGTCCCACCAAAAAACAAACTAACCACAAAACGGGCCTGGAGAATGAATTCTGGGTTAGGAAACTCCGAGACTCCACTAGAAGGTATTTAGGGAGGTCTGATTTATGTCGCAGTCCTAGGGCAGTGATGATGAACTATGGTTGATGTGCTGCAGTGGGCCGTTTGTATCACTGAAAGCTCTAGAAAGCTTCACCATCACTGTCCTAGGGTATCTGGCCCCTGGTGTACAGAAGGGTTCCCATGAATGTAGAATTAAAGGGAGCAAGAACAATACAAGGGCAGCACACAGCTTCTCTGACCACAGGCTGGGTACTATTCAGCAAACCAATCCAGATTTTATATGGCACAAAACAAAGGCCAGAGGGCCAGGGATTTACTCAATGGATCCACTGACTGCCTTGCTCAAGGTTCCAAGTTCAATCCCCAGTACCCCACCCCCCCCGAAAACAAAAACAAAACAAAGTTCAGAGAGTCCCAGCAGGCTGACTGGTATAAGGCATTATCATTTTGCTCTCTGACCCACATCTGGGTTTCCTCTAAAGACTTAGTAATATTCTGTGGGTAATTTCAAGGCTTTTAAAACTGTACCTAACATTTTATCCCTACATTTGAGCATATGTGGCTTTTCCTGGGGTGAGAATGAATGGCTTTCATTGGATTCTCAAAGAGGATCCTGACCCAAATGAAGCTCAGGACCTCCGCTCTCCCCTGAGCATTTTGTACTCGGGTGTGAAACATGAGCTAACACTACATGTTTACCTGAAACTCTTGCTCCAGTTTCTTCTCTATCCAGTCTGTCACGTGAACTAAAGTAACTTCTCTCTCTCCAAGTTTTGGCCGAGCTTTCAGCTCCACATGTGGTGGCTTCCGGAAGCCATACCTTTTAGAAGAAAAGTAATAACCACATTTAGAAGCACAGAAAGGAAGCAGACAAGCACTGATGACAAGTACTTCTCATTTACATGGGCTTTTATCATAACTTAAAAGTGTTATTCTGAAACTCTTCTCTAAAATTAATTTAGCAGAGTATGAATTTGTAAACTCCCTGTATTCCCTGGACAGTGTTAGGGCTGTGACGGATTTAGATCAGATCTAGCAAACTGGAAAAACCAGGAAGCACCACAGGAAAGGTCTACGATTTGGGCATTTTTGTTTTTCCTAAAATGGTAGTGATCTTTTTTCTATTTTGATAAAAGATATGCACATTACAAAAACCAAAACCTAAGTGCATAAACCTGAATCTGAGCCAGGTGTGGTAGTGTAGGTCTGTAATCCTAGTACTTAGGAGGATCATTGTGAGTTGGAGGCTAGCCTGGGCTACACCCAGCATATAAAGAAGTTTTTAAATTTTACCGAGAAACATTAGCAGCAGCAAGTTAAAAAACCTTCTGATAATTCCTATAAAACCTGAACACAAGGAAATTTACAGGAAATGTTGATTTCAGTCTGGTGGATCACAAAGGTATATTTCTAGTATTAGTGTAGTTTATGATAAAGTGAAGTTTCTTATCAGTAACGATCCACTTATGCGTAT